TATATATATATACATAATTAGTAAAATTATTTGTATATAGAAGTTATATTACATTCGTGCTTACACCATAATAATTTATAAATAAAAATATTATCTTGATAAAAAAATATTATCAATATTATTATTATTATCATTATTATCAAAATATTATCATGTTCCTCGAATTTTTTTATCTCTCTGTGGATTGTTTGTTAATTTCCAAGATTTATATATACATTAATTACTATTTATTAGGACTTTAATAATTGAACAATTATTGTAAATAATTATATATTTGTACAGAGATTTCAATAAAATTGTATTTTAATTAAAAGTAAATATTTAATAAAACATTTTCATAGTATTTCTATAATATTGTTATTAGATATATATCCTCTTTTTGATTGTATCGATTGCCTTTCAAATTAGAGCCCGCGCACAACCAGCAATATGGCGATCTTTTAGTCATCAGATCAAAGGTGCCGACACCGAGTGAGCCTACTGTTCTTTCTTATACTGTGTTAATGTTATTCGCATACAGTGTAACGTCACGATGGGAGCGTACCACAACGACAAATCAGCGGATACGATACATGAATTCGCACCTAACGTTCCACCCGGATATAAAGTGTCGGAGATCCCGGCGCAAATCATTTATCTTCATCACGGTTCGTTTACACGTGCGACGAAGATAATAGAGCGAAAGAGAGGCGCGCGTACTATGCTCGTCGTGAACGATTCGAACGTGAAAAACGCGCCCGTCATCGCCGTCGCGTCGCCCCTCGACGCGAAAAGGAGAAAGAAGGGGAGCGGAAAATTGACCGTCGCCAACGCGGCTTTCCTGTGCTCCTTAGGTTTCGTTGTTCCGAAGACCGCATATTTGTGAAAGCAAAATGAGCGACATCTTAAGCATCGGTGGGGAACCAGTATTCGACGATCGCATCGTCAAAATCGAAACTCACACGTATAATCCTTATGCTAATACAACGTTTGGAAATAGCGACGAAATACGAATTCCTATACAACAACAAGATCTGTACACGTTACCGTGCGAAAGTTTTCTGTACATCGAGGGCAGACTCGAGTCGAAGAAATCGTCGAGCGCGGAGGAAGAAAGCGCGTTGACGACGAGATTGGTGAACAATTGCGCGGCGTTTATGTTCGAGGAGATTCGCTACGAACTCGATGGCGTAGAGATCGATCGAAATAGAAACGTCGGAATAACGAGTACGATCAAGAATTATGTGTCGCTGACGACCGAGAGAAGCAGTATATTACAAAACGCTGGATGGGACTTCGCGACGACGCTTCATTGGCCGATCGGTGATTTCAACTTTTGCGTACCACTCAACGTGTTGCTAGGTTTTTGCGAGGATTACAAACGCGTCGTGATCAACGCGCGACATGAACTCATTCTGATACAAGCGCGCAACGATAACAATTGCCTTATATTGCGCGAAACGTACGAACCTAAGATCATCTTATTGAAGATACAGTGGCGAATGCCACATATAGTGCTAAATGACGTTAATAAATTGGCGCTATTACGCACGTTATACAGCGGACGGTATCTAAGCATCGCTTTTCGTTCGTGGGACCTCTACGAGTTTCCGCTTCTGCAAAGCACGACCAAACACTCGTGGGCGGTCAAAGCGGCGACGCAGCTCGAGAAACCGCGCTACGTTATCTTCGCACTACAGTCCGGAAGGAAGAATGTTCTATCTCAGGAGATTTCTCAATTCGATGATTGTAAACGAGGGACGCGTCGAGACATTTTCTGCTTGAGAAAATTGTTCGATCTCGAGCCATACGACGGATGCGAAGAGCGGACGAGACGAGACCTCGCGAACTTACGGGAAGACGCTGCGCGGGCTCGCGAATGCGACGCCGACGACGAAGGAACGAACCGGAACATTTCGAGCAACATGGAACGGTGAGAAGCGGATAGTGAAACGGGCGAACCGATTTACGCGATCGCGCGAGAGGAATAGCGCGAAACGGATAGCGAAACGGGGGAACCGATACACGCGATCGCGAGAGAAGGATAACGCGAGGCGCGTACGATAAGAAAGAATAGTGCGAGACACAGCGCGATAGTATAGTGAAAAAGTGTAACGTTCGCGAAGGTGATAAATAAAAATTACTAATATTTAATATATTTGTATTTATTAAGTAAATATAAGTATGTACATATGTGTATGCAATATGTATATAGATATGTGTATAACTATATGTATTTATATGTATCTACATATATAAGTATAGATATGTAAGTATGCGTATATAAGTATAGATATATAAGTATAGATATGTAGATATGCGTAGGTATATAAATATGTAAATCTGCATGTCCCTTCTTCTGAAACAAAAACAACTATTATTAGCGAACTAAATATACAGAGAAGAATTATAAATAAACGTATAAAGAAAATACTCACAATTATTTATATTAGTTGGCGGTGGTGGGAGCTCGGACGTTGACTGGAGTTCGTTCTGAAGTTCCCGTTCATTATTTTCACCTTCTTTTATTAGCCACATTTCGCGCAACGCCCCATGAACATCTCGCGCTTGCGTGTGCAAAACTTTGGTTCGAGCGGAAAGCTCTGCCAAAGCATGACGCGTGACTCTCACGCCTGTTGATATCCGTTTTCTAAAAAATATTAGAATATAAAAGATGAATCAACCGCATCATCATCGTTAATAACGTGCAAATACTTACAACAATTTTTCGACGTCTCCATCTATTTCAAAATCGACCCGAAACGAATTTGGGCTTTGGTGTATCACCCCACGAGCTTCGGTTCGCAAATCGGTTGCCATCATTGACACTGCCGCAGCCTTTCTCTCTATCTCGTCGGCTGCTACCGTGACATAATCGGCCACGTCAATAATTTGATTAATTACATCCATCGCTCGTGTTTCAACGATACTTTGTTCTGCGAAACGATCTCGCGCTCCTTTTATGAGCGGTTAATACGCATTTCGCTCGCATGGAAACTTTTTCGGGGCGACCCCGCGTTCCTTCTATAAACAGATGGCGATATGATTTTGTCGATCGCAGCATTTTCTCCGTTTCTCGGAGCGATCTCTGGCTCCTTCTATAAACAGATGGCGATATGATTTTGTCGATCGCAGCATTTTCTCCGTTTCTCGGAGCGATCTCTGGCTCCTTCTATAAACAGATGGCGATATGATTTTGTCGATCGCAGCATTTTCTCCGTTTCTCGGAGCGATCTCTGGCTCCTTCTATAAACAGATGGCGATATGATTTTGTCGATCGCAGCATTTTCTTCGTGTTTCCTCGAACGAATCATCGAGAATCGCGCTTTCATCGAATGAGTCATCGATATATTGCGCATAAACAAATAAAAATAAAAAGCGACCGAAGAGACGCTTTCTCGACGAACCCGAGTATATTGCGCGTCGAATATCATCGGTTCATCTGGAATAAACATATAAAAATAGAAAGCGATAAAGACGCTTTTTTGGAAACAACTGCGCTTTTCCTCTAACCTAAACTTTTTTTTTTGTAACAGAGGGGAAATGATTTTACGCATACCCCGCCTTGATGGGGTTCAAGGCGGGGTTGTGTGGGACTACCCCCGACCTAAACAAACGGCCGGGGACTACCCACTAAAACCCCTCCGGGTGGCCTATCTCGGGCGTTTCAGAGGGCCTCTCTGGAAACTGGCATATGCACTACATCAGAGAGGCCCTCCGCCCACGAGCCATGCCCTCTGGGGAAGTTTATCCCTCCCCCAGTGTCCCTGTATGTTGTAGGGACATCAGCTCATATCAGCGAGAGGGGGACCACCGCCCCTTTCGCCTCCCTCCCGGTGTTGTGTCCCGGGGAGGGCGTGGCCGGGCCCAGGTACCCCACCTGGGCTCCGACCACCGGGCCACGCCTCGGGTAAGACGTCCGCGACGAAATAACGGACGTCCCCCGGGTTCGCCGGGGCCCGGCGCAAACGCAGGAGGAGTTCGATGGGGCCGGGTCCGATCGCGACCCAGTCCTCTCCTCCCGCGCGCGCCCCCCCCTTGTCTGGGGCGGGTCTCCGGAGTCGCCGCGGGCCAATGTGGCCCCGGTTCCCGTCAAGCCACCCCGGGGGTCCTTGGGGCGCGACGGCGCGTCGCGCCACTACGACCAGGGGTCGTGAGGGGCCCGCAGGTCCTGCCCATAAAGAGCTCTTCCCGCGTCTCCCCCCCGGTTTCCCCGGCCGTCCCATCTCGGTCACGAGCTCCCCGGCGTCCTCCGGGGAGTCGCTCCCGTTCTCTTTCGGCCTCCTTCTTCTGGAGCATTACCGCTTCACAGAAGGAGGAGACCGCCCTCCAGGACTCCTTGCTCTTGAGCATGACCGCTGCAATGCTCGAGAGCGAGAAGTCAGTCTCGCCCATTATGTGGACGAGGACACGACG